TTTGGAATGCGGCGCGAAGGATGCGTAACCGGTCTTCAAACAACGAGAGCGAGGAGTACTCCGATAGTTGGATCCTCAAGTTCGCGCGAAAAGTATGTCCTGATTCTGTGCCGGCACAGATGATTCCTTGCGAAACGACGAATTCGGTAGACGAGATCAGCCAGCCTTTTTCAATGCTGGAGCTCTCACTCGCGCTCCTTTCGTGTGGCAATTCGGCTCCGGGGGCTGATAGAATCAAGTTCAACTTGTTGAAGAACCTCCCAGACGTCGCTTAGAGGCGCATGTTGAACTTGTTTGGTCAGTTCCTGGAGCTCAATATTGTTCCGGATGATTGGAGGCGGGTGAGAGTTATAGCCATTAAAAAGCCTGGAAAACCCGCGTCAGATCACAATTCGTATCGTCCCATTGCGATGTTATCGTGTATTCGAAAATTGTTGGAGAAAATGATCCTTTTTCGCCTGGACAAATGGGTTGAGTTGAACCACCTACTCTCAGATACTCAATTTGGTTTCCGTAGGGGCAAGGGAACGAACGACTGTCTCGCGTTGCTTTCCACTGAAATTCAGTTGGCTTTTGCTAATAAAGAGCAAATGGCTTCTGTCTTCTTGGATATTAAGGGGGCTTTTGATTCAGTATCGGTTGAAGTCCTTTCAGACAAACTCCACGCTTGTGGCCTTTCTCCATTAATTAATAACTTTTTGTACAATTTGCTGTCAGAGAAACATATGAGCTTTTCTCATGGAAACTCTACAGCTTCACGATTTAGCTACATGGGTCTCCCCCAGGGCTCATGTTTAAGCCCCCTTCTGTATAATTTCTACGTCAGAGAAATTGACAATTGTCTAAGTGACAACTGCACGTTGAGACAACTTGCAGATGACGGAGTAGTGTCTATGACAGGGCCCAGAGAGGCCGACCTGCAAGGACCCTTACAGGATACCTTAGACAATTTGTCTACTTGGGATATCCAGCTAGGTATCGAATTCTCCACGGAGAAAACTGAGTTGGTCGTTTTTTCTAGGAAGCATAGCCCAGCACAACCAAAGCTTCAACTTTTGGGTAAACCGATCACTCATTCTATGTCCTTCAAATATCTTGGGGTCTGGTTCGATTCAAAATGCACCTGGAGATCCCACATTGAGTATCTGAAGCGGAAATGCCAACAAAGGATCAATTTTCTCCGAACAATTACCGGAACGTGGTGGGGAGCCCATCCGCAAGATCTTCTAACGTTGTACCGGACAACGATTTTATCGGTTTTAGAGTACGGTAGTTTTTGCTTCCAGTCGGCGGCTAAAACGCACATCATCAAACTGGAACGGATCCAGTATCGCTGTCTTCGTATCGCGTTAGGATGCATGCACTCGACTCATACGATGAGTCTCGAAGTGTTAGCGGGCATGTTGCCACTCTCTGATCGGTTTTCGGAATTATCCCTCAGGCTCCTCACCCGTTGTGAAATTATGAACCCACTGGTGATTGCAAACTTTGAGAAGCTTCTTGAGCTAAACCCTCAAACTCGTTTTATGTCATTGTACTACGTGTACATAACACAGGATGTCAGCCCTTCGCAGCATAATCCCTATCGTGTTTGCTTCTCCGACTTCGACAGTTCTGTTCATTTTGATTTATCAATGACGCAAGAGATTCGCGGAATCCCAGAGCATCATCGTTCCATGATTGCTCCGTCAATTTTCGCTGCAAAGTTTGGCCAAGTTGATTCCGCAAGATCGTTCTTCACAGATGGATCACTAATAGAGGCGTCCGCTGGTTTTGGTATTTATAACGAATTTCATAGCGCCTCTCTAATGCTCCATGCTCCTTGTTCCGTATATGTTGCGGAACTGGCGGCAATACATTATACGCTAGAAACGATCGCCTCACTTGCACCAGATCATTATTTTATTTTTACGGATAGTCTCAGTTCTGTCGAGGCTATTCGCTCCATGAGGCCGGTAAAGCACTCCTCGTATTTTCTCACGAAAATACGAGAGCTTTTGAGTGCTTTATCTTTAAGATCTTTTGTCATCACCTTTGCATGGGTCCCATCTCATTGCTCGATTCCGGGCAATGAGATGGCTGACTCACTTGCAAAGGTGGGCGCTATGGAAGGCGATATTTACGATCGACAAATCGCCTACGACGAATTTTTCTTCATTTATCGTCAACAGTCCCTCGCCAGCTGGCAAAATAAATGGAGTGAAGGGAGTTTGGGACGATGGTTATATTCAATCATCCCTAAGGTGTCGAAGTGTCCTTGGTTCAAGGGGTTGGATGTGGGTCGAGACTTCATTCGTATGATGTCTCGCCTCATGTCCAATCACTACTCGTTAAACGCTCACTTGTTCCGTGTTGAGCTGGGGGACAGTAATCTCTGTGAATGTGGACAAGGTTACCAGGACGCAGATCACATTATTTGGTCATGTGCTGAGCACCGTGGAGTCAGATCCGAGTTGTACGATTCCCTTCGGGCTCGAGGTAGACAACCTAATGTTCCAGTTCGGGATATTTTGGCTAGACGCGATCTGGAGTTTATGCAACTCATATATGTTTTCTTGAAGAATATTAATCATAGATTGTAAGTTTGATTAACCTTGTGTTTAGTTTGTGTTTTGTATGTGTGTGTGTGTATTTTTTTTGTAGATTTGTTTCGGTAATAATTGTATAATTACAGAATTGATATAACGTCGATAGGATTAAGTATATCTTTTAGAAATAGTGAAATTTTTGAATCATAAATCATATTCCAAATCTCCTTTTCCCTCTCCCGATCCAAACAATTGTCATCCACTAACCTCGAGAAGACCGCGAGTAATCGGTTCCAATCCTTTAATTTTAGATTTAAGACATTTATAATGTATAAAGAAAATGATAACTTGGCTCTGTAAAGTTTATTCGATTGAGCCTGTACAAATAAAGTAATTAACAAAAAAAAAAAAAACAACTTTGCAAAAGATCGTTTTTAAGTCAAACGTCAAATGAAATAGTTATTAATTTTTAAAGAGATTGATGATGATGATCAAGAAAGTGATTTGTGGGAAACACTGAATGTACACTGCAGTGTGACATAGTAGCCATGATTTTTGTTCTCTATTCTACGCGCCAGAAACACCAATGCACAGTGGTCTAGAATGCAGATTTAGGTGGAATGATATGTTTTGAACCTGAAATTGAAACTTTAGGCTAAAAGTCTCTACTACAAAGTTGTTCTTTATAGTTAGACCCTCATTTTTATGACAATGAATTCTAGGGTGTTTCTTATTATCATTAAAATCAAAAATCTTACCTTTTTGTTTTAAATAATAATTAAGGTATACATTCTTCGGCAAAGTTATAGCTGAGCTAAATTCAAGCAATTTTGTTGAAAACAATTTATTTGTATCTCTTAAATTGGCCAATTTAGAGCTATTTTCTTGAATTGAGAAATTTCTCATGAAAGTCATCTTCTAGAGACTTTTAAAACTCTTTTAGGCGAATGTTTTATAGCGAAATGTGTTGTCTGTATCTCTTCTAATAAAAAAGATATACCCAAATTTAGTAAAAAATATGAATAATTTCAAGTTGATTTTATACGAGTTTAAAAAATAAAATACCTCCAATTTTTTCATATTATTGATTTTTTTTTGCTTTATTAGAGAGATGCTCAGCCTTGAGCTGGTTCATCTCTTTCATAATACTGAGAATAACATAAGTCCTTTCAAATGCCGTAAGAATTTTTTTTTTGGTTTGCCCCAACCAGAGATATTAACATTTAAAAAGTGCATATTTTTAGTATAAAAACGTCATTAACTCTTGATAGGCGAAAGATATTGACAAGCTTCTTGCATCAAAAATTTTCGCCTTCTAAAGATCTAAAAGTCATTTGAAGACACCTTTGCTGAGAAATTTGAAATAAGAAAACTAGAGCAAAATAACTGTTTTTTTTAGCGCCACCCTAACTCAATTCAAGAAAATAGCTCTAAATCGGCCAATTTAAGAGATACAAAAAAGTTGTTGTCAACAAAGTTGCTTGAAATTAGCTCAGCTATAACTTTGTCGAAAAATGTATACCTTAATTTATTCAAACAAAAAAGTTAGATTTTTGATTTTAATGATAATAAGAACCACCCTAGAATTCATTGTCATAAAAATGAGGGCCTAACTATAAGGAACAACTTTGTATAAGAGACTTTTAGTCTAAAGTTTCTATTTCAGGCTCAAAACATATCATTCCACCTAAATCTGCATTCTGGACCACTGTGCAATGTTGCCTGCTGAAGAGTTGATTTGAGCATAATCGTAAGACACCAGTGACATGAATCCTCAATAACTTTTATTCCTTAGATTTTATCGAAAAGTGGTCAAAATTGCAGCTGAAAATATTTCTTACAAGCATAGTTACCATTTTTTAAAGCAGACCGATATGGTGAATTGTTAGATAGATATGAACTAACAATTTGGTTGCCAAGTCAGTTTCTTACTAAATGATTTCAAATTTTGGGAGGCTAATCAGGACTCAATTTGGAACCGTTTGAGCACTGTGGAGCAAAAATTTCAAATTTGGCATCAGTGCTTTCATGGTAGTTAGCACCAGTTATTGAAAATGAACATTATTTTATTTTTTTCCTTAAAGGCCGCAAAGGTTAGTTTTTTTTTGTGGGTAACCAGTTTCGAATTTACCATGACATCACTGATACTATAGGCATAAACGGCAGCAGGGTAAAGCCATCGTAATTTGCTTGGCTACCAACAGCACAAAAAGTCGAAAAATCCGTCCTGAAAATAACTTCCACGGGCTTTAGTAACTCTTTCAACTAACCGGAAAAAAATACCTCATTGTAACTGATAGGTAGCCGTCGCTAGGAGAGATAGAACTAGAAACCGAAAAAAAAAATCATCTTCCTTTTTCTTTATCTCATAGGCTGACTAAAAAAAACAAACGGACCGCTGGCAGCAAGCCGATTACAGACTGCCACAAAAAAGAACGAATAATCTGCTTTATTCTTTTTCAGTAGCTCAGTCGTGCTACAGCCGGTAAGGTGGTGTAACATTTTCGAAAGATGACAACTCCCAAGCGCGAATGTTCCCTGCTGGGATGCCTCCTGAGCCCCCGGCTGTACGGTGTGATCGTGGGCCTGCTAAGTCTGTGGGCCATGCTCGCTTCGCTCTCGGCTTCCGTCTATCTGATGGTGAAATACGACGATATCAAGGATGTTCCGGACAGTTGTGAGTATAAATCGTGTGAATCGCAATTCCAGTGCAGTGACGTCCAGTGAACGTGTGGAACATTTGGCATGATTTATCAAAAAACCAGAAATTCTTCGAATCACTCGACTGAATCGCTGAGAGTGCTACGCAGCAAATATCTAACAACCGCATCGCTATTTTAGTTAAACCCTACTACCGGTACGCCATGCTCGATACGATACTGATTCTGATTGGCGTGGCCATTGTTGGGCTCTATATATTTGGCATCTTCAAAGTACGTCCCCTCCCTCGTTCTCATATTTGATCAATCTCTCTTAAATCGATTTCCATTTCTGATTTCGGTTCTGAAATCCTACAGGTCAACGAGCACTATTTGATGCCGTTCATAGTGCTACTCGTGCTGGACTTTTTGGGCTACATTGTGTCTGAGACGATGGTGCGGCTGTATGCGAATATCGACGGCGGCACAACCGGGAAGGACCGATGGAAGCAAAACCTAATGGAGATTGGTTCGTTTGCGTTGCCATTTATCAGCGAATTGCACCGCGATTGGCTGTGTTCATTTTAATGAGATGTGCTTTGTTTACACATTTGCAGTGATATTCACCTGTCTGTTTGGCCTGACGACTCATCTCTATCGAATCTTCCAGCACCAACGACAACTGAGGGAGCAGAGGTTCGGCGGTTATCGAAGCATTTCGAGCAGTGTGGAGAACATTGGCATGTAGATTAAGGTGTTTTTCAAGATTGTTTGTTGTACATAGATTTTTTTTGGCAATATTTATGACTAGTTAAGTGACCTTCAATAAAAAAAAATCGCAGGTGTAGTATACTGCCGTTATAGATGCATAGCTGACCCTTGTTCTAAGATACTTATGCGTATAACGGCAGTATAATCAATGAAAATCAGAACTCTCTTGTCGTCTTGTGGCAAATATTCTTCATTCTGTAATTTTCCATTAGTAGTCAGATGGTTCGATTCATAATTCATCCATTTTGGTTTAATATTTTTTTAAATAAAACCCAAATCACGGTTTTAGTCATTCCGACGAGCTTGCTCACTTTCTTTCGAAAAGCCTCCAACACTTTTGAAAAGTTAGAAATTACTTTGATCTAAATATTCCCCTTGCCTTTGACGCTTCTTTTGCAAGCATTTTATCGGCTCCCAACTTATAAAGTTTGAACCCGAAACATTTTGGACACATTAAAAACGCTGCCATTAAGGCATTTTTTGAGTAAAGTTTTTCAAAATTTCTCTGGATCAAGCTAAGAGTGTATAGCATCACAGTAGACATTGGTTGTCAGGATAAATTGTTTACATCATTGCTTCACCGGAGCAAGCACGTCGCGATTCGATCCTGCAGGCTCGAAACTAAAATCCCGGTCTATCCCCTCCTGGCATTTTTAGATCAAATTCCTGGCCAGGAATGGCAGGAATTTTATACCTCGATTGACCAGAAGAGTGCTCCGGAGAATGTAAAATCAAAAAGAAGTCGAAATTCTCCAAAAAGTTCTTTGTCTGTCAAGCAATGTGCAGTTGTGGGCTGAAACGCAAGACTTTCGTTACTTCTGGGACCATGGGCCAGCAAATTGTAGCCAGTTGGTTACAATCCGTGGATTTTCGTCTGTATGAGTTGTTGTTGTTTGCAAAATTCACGTATTTCAATAACAAAGACAGAAGGCAACACACGGTAGCGAGAGGGTTAGTACCGCTGCCAAAAGCTTTAAGCTAAAAATGAAAAGAGAATTAAAAAAAAAATGGTTTATGAGAGTCATCTTAGATTTAGAAGATTTTTTTGTTGGAGAGGGGAGTGAAACCACTGCGTCCATTATTTGAACTTTTGTGGTACCCCTATTTGCTGTTTGTATCATGCAAACCGACCACTATTTAACGAGAGGACGGCTAACTGCCTGGATACATCTTTTCCCAGTCTGGTATAACATGGTTTATAAAACCAACTACTAGAGTCGGTGTATAATGAGTCACGCCAAGAGAAAAACAGTTGAACTCGCATCACGGTTTTCGAAGGATTCCCTTTCTTTTCACTTGGCAACAGAGGACTTCTACATCAACTTTAAATGACTTCTAGCGAGAACCAAAAATAACGGCTGTAGTGAATCATAATATCAGTGATTTTGTCAAATTATCTTATCAAAAAATAGTAGAAATTCTCATTACTGATCAAAACCAAACGTATCCCATGACCATTTAATGCTCGCTGCGTGTTTCTGATGATTTCTTCAATTTTATTTTATATTTCATTGCAATACCTTTCGTAGACCTTTCATAGCATCGTAATGTTTATTTACTTTGCACGATAGGTAGCCGATTTGACAGTTCAATAGGTAGACTTGGCTTCACTCTTGGCGTGACTCATTATACACCGACTCTACCAACTACCTTTCCAGGATATGCAGACCAAATTTCACTAGGTTGTAAGCTAATACTTCCAAGAAATTTAGATCTACGCTTGTGTAATGCACAACAACTGCAGAGCAGATGTTCCGAGGTTTCAAGTTTCAAATTACAGAAACGACGGATATCACTCTGAACCCGACCAATGTACTTGATGTGATATCTACTAGGACAGTGCCCAGTTAATAGACCCAGTGTATATACTAAGAGCTGTTTTATTGAGTTCTAAGAGCTTTTTGGTGTATGTTATATTAGGAGTTAATAAATCTATTCGACTGGTTGCAGTTTGTGACTGTCGTCCAATTGGTCATCACCCTTTGCTCTTATGATAATTCGGAAGAATTTCTGATCACTTTGATATGATGAGAGAATATTTGGAGAACTCGATTACAGTTTCCTATTAGCCCAAGGTCTTCGATAAAATTTCTGATAATTCGGAAAAACTCCTGATCAACCTGCTATGATTTGATTTTTTTGATTTTGATTTTGCGAGACAGAAGGGGGTCTTATGAAGGCCAGATCTCAAGTCTCAAGGCCAAATTCCAGAACTTGAGTGGAACATGGTTCTCACGTCAAACTATAATGTCTAAAATGAACCACATGCCCCAACCAACCCTAGAACGGCTCCCATACACTCTCCATGCTGAATCGTGAGTCCCCCCTTTTCCCATATCATTATATGCAAAATAATAACCCGATGCAGGTCAATTGAATATGCCTAATTGAATTAGTTGCAATGATAGTGTTAACAGTAATGACAGTATAATATAGTAATTTAATAAAATGAATATTTACCTGTTAATAATGATCGAGGTTGGTGAAAAGTATGGGAAGTTGTTAGTAGATTTTACCATCACATAGTTAGTCGAATCCTTGGAAACCATCATCCTCGTCTTCAGAGAAATCTCTGAAATCCAGGATGTTCAGTTGCTCATCGCTACTTGAATCGCTGAGAGTAACTTCCGAGTCTTCGTATTCTGATTCCACCATTTCAGTGAACAATCTTGTCGTGGCTGATTTGAACTCACTTCTGTTATTAGCCACCTCTTGCCAATAATCCACCGATCGACCGCTTCTTTCTACATCCTGCCTTACGCTGGTTTTCCAAGTGAAGCAGGGTCTTCCAACTTTTTTCTTCTCCGGGATCCTATACTCTAGGGCTTTCCTGATAATCCCCTGAGGTGCGCTTCTTACGACGTGTCCATAAAAGTTTAGACGAGAAACCCTGATTTTATTGTTTATGGTTCTTCCTTCCAACTCCCGTACAGCTATATACTGTGAATCAGACTGTTCATTGTTCGGTGAAGTCTCTACATTGACTAATTGTTGTTCTTGTGGTTGTTGCTGCTGTGACTGTTCCATGTTTTCAGATTCTTCTCCTTCACGAGACCCTGCATTACTCCTGCTCAATCTTTTTAGTGTAGACAACATCGTGCTCTCCATTCTACGAAGGGAGTTCCTATTACTTTTGAGTACCGTTGCCACTTCCATTGAATACGTCACTACCGGCGTTATCAAAGCGTGATACAGTTTCTTTACCACAGGCCATCTTACTGGGTGTTGCCGCAAAAAACCGCATAGTGTATGGAAGGCTTTGTATGCTTTCTTTATTCGATCTGATGTTGTCTGTTTCCGGGTTGGACTGCTGGTAATCGTTGCTCCCAGGTATGTCAGTTTCGTTACTAGGGTTAGTTTGTATTTTCCAAAATCATATGTCTGGTCTGGGTTAACGTTCCTTATATTGTACGGGTCCCTAAACAGTACTTTGGTTTTGGAGGTATTTATTTCCAAACCAATCGATGCTAATAATCGTTCCAATACAGATAGCAGATGTTCGACTTCGTCAATATTTTCACACAAAAACAGGAGGTCATCAGCATATGCCAGAATGAGCGGTAGTACGATACTCTCTATATGCTCCATATTTAGTTCTGGGATAAATTCCTTCATCGTGACAAGCGGCGAACCAGCCAATGGCTGAAAGCCTTGTAAATAAAGGAAAAAAAAAAAAATCGTGACAAGTACGTGATGCAACATGATAACAAACAAGATTGGGCTGATGGGGCAACCTTGTTTGATTCCTCTTTTTTTCGTGTTATTTGCGTGCGTTGGCCATACCACTGCAAGGATGTCTCTTCACTCAAACACGCCTTAAGAATCCTGTTAACCAATGATTCGGACACGCCCATTTCCCGCAATATTGGGAAAAGCTTTGACACATCGATTTTATCAACCTTGCCGAAGGTCCACAGATACTATAATGACGGGTTTGCCTTTACGCCATTTTTCATCCAGTATCCGTCGAAGAACAAAAATCTGGTTCGTAGCGCTTCTTTTTCGCATGAAGGCCATCTGGTAATCGGGAATCTGCGGAAGTTGCTGTTGTAGTCTGTTCAGCAATATTTTTGCATACAGTTTATATGCTACTGAGCATAATGTAATTCGCCTGTAGTCATTTGTCGATTGTGGGCTGGGTATTTTTGGGATTGGTATCTGTATTGTTGTTGCCCATGACACCGGGACTTCGTTGCTCCGAAAAACGTCGACTAGTAGTTCCACTAATTGATCCAGTAGGTTTTCAGATCCGTGTTTCAGCAATTCAGCTGCTATTCCATCCAGGCCAGGTGCGGAATTGTTACGCATTTCTATTATTATTCTTATCACCTCGTCCTTTGTAGGGTCTGGTCCCGGAGAGCGCTCGTCAGTTTCATCAGTTAGCTGAATATCTGTCCCCGCTCCTTGTTCTCATAGCCTCATCTCCCAGTCTCTAATATGGATAAATTTCCCACGCTTGCTTCCATTATTCCTTCTGTGTGCTTTGATAAACCTGAATGTTTCCACCATTTTATCTAATCCATTATCATGTTCTGTTTCTTCAAGAAACCTGTTGATTTTGTCTTCGAAATGTTGTTTAATAGCATTTGCTTTATCGCGTCTGGCTTCCGCGCAGCTTTTCTTCAAAACTGGGTTCGACCGATCCAAAATAAGTTTGTGATGAATTTGATCGTACCGTTTATAAGCTTTCTCACGCCTTGGAGTCATAGGAGTTGTGGGACAACTCAAGTGAGATTGTGCTGCTGTAGTCATAGCTATCTTTTCCCATTTTTCACTTATGCTGGCATTACCAGGGATGCGAGTTAGGTTTCTATCTAATGTTACCTGGTATCTTTCCTTTATGGTTTCGTCATTATATAGTAGTCCTAGATAAAGTTTAGCCCGCTTCGTTGGATGAATGGCTGGACCTTCTTGTGAAATTGTTACACTTTCTGTATTTCTTTTGCGTTTAATTATTTCTATCACCATTTTATGATCGCTGATTGATGCTGG